AGGGAGCCCGATGTGGGACTCGATCCCAGGACCCTGGGATCATGACCTGAGCTGAAGGCAGTCGCTTAACCAACTGAGCCACCCAGGCGCCCATCTTTTCCTCATTGATTTAAAAAATATGTTCTGATTAATAATTCTCCTTCACTTATTTATGTTGTAATATTTTTTCCAGGTTTGTGGCATATCGTTTCACTTTTTAAAAGATGTCTTTGGTAAAGAGAAGTTCTTTTTTTTTTTTTTCCTGGTAAAGAGAAGTTCTTAGTTTTAATGTAATCAAATATTTTCCTCTAACATGTGCTTTTGAATATTCTTGAGAAGTTTTTCTTTACCTGAGGTTGTTTATAATACAGTAGTACTGCCTTATCTGTGATTTGGCTTTCTGCAGTTCAGTTATCCTCAGTCAGCTGCAGTCTGGTAGTAGATAATCCTCCTTCTGACATATTGTCAGAAGGTCAGTAGTAGCCTAACACTATGTCACAATGCCTACATCACTCGCCTCACTTTATTTTACCACATAGGCATTTTTTTTTAAGATTTTATTTATTTATTTGACAGAGACAGAGATAGTGAGAGCAGGAACACAAGCAGCGGGAGTGGGAGAGGGAGAAGCAGGCTTCCCACTGAGCAGGGAGCTTGATGTGGGACTCCATCCCAGGACCCTGGGATCATGACCTGAGCCGAAGGCAGCCGCTTAACGACTGAGTCACCCAGGCGCCCACCACATAAGCATTTTATCACCTCACATCATCACAAGAAGAATTGTGAGTATAAAGTAAGATATTTTGAAAGGGAGAGCGACCATACTCACATTACTTTTATTACATTACATTGCTGTAATTGTTCTATTTTATTAATAGTTATTGCTAATCTCTTACTGTGCCTAACTTATAAATTAAACTTCATTATAGGCATGTATATATAGGAAAAAACATAGTATATATAGGGTTTGGTACTATTTATGGTTTCTGGCACCCACTGGAGGTCTTGGAATATATCCCCTGCAGATAAGGGGGACTACTGTATTCTCCAATATTTTATTCTAAGAATGTTAAGGCTTTTCTTTTTACATTTAGGTTTTTATTCGATTTCAAGTTTATTTTTATTTGTGGTATGAGGTAAACCAGACCCCTTTAAAATTTTTAAACTCAAGTATAACTTACATACAGAAAAACACATCATAATGATACAGCTCAGTAAATATTCACAAACTTGAACATCAGGGCTGGGATGAGGGTGAGGCAAGCAAGGTGAGAGTAAGTGGGTTCTTAAATTTTGCTTTTTAGCTAACTTGTTTGTCTCACCTTTGTCCCAGCCTACTGAATAAACACATGAAGTCAACACCCAGATGAAGAAACAAAATACTACCAGTTCCTCAGAAAACTAAGTCTTACTTTGAAGTCAGTCAATAAGAATATTTCTATCCTGACTTCTGTTAGCATAGATTAGTTTCTCTTGTTTTTTATTTTATAGATATAGAGTCATAGAGTGTGAGCCATTTGTTCACTCAACATTATGTTGTGAGATTTATCCATATTCTTGCTTGTTGTTGTAGACCATTCTCACTATTCATTCCATTAGCGTTGGTGGGCATTTGGATAACTTTCCAGTTTTGACTATTATGATAGTACTGCTCTGAACATTCTGAACATGTTTTTCAATGAAATATGTACACATTTCTGGTGGGAATAGAACTGTTAGGGGTAGATTTGCTAGGTCAAGGATATGTGTACATTTAGTTTTAATAGATACTACAAAACAATTTCCAAAGTGGTTGTGCCAATTTATACTCCCATCAGCAATGTATGAGAGCTGTGGTTGCTCCACATCCTCACCAACCCTTGTCATTTTCTATCTTTTTAATTTTAGCCATCACGGTGGGTGTGTAATGTTAGGTCACTGTGGTTTTAATTTGCAGTTGCCTGATGACTAATGAAGATGAGCATCTTTTCATATGTTTATTGGCCTTGTTGGATATACTTTTTTGTGAAGTGTCTTTTCAAGTTGTCATTTTTTTCTCTATTGGGCTCTATTGGATTGTCTTTCATTCTTATTGATTTGTGGAGTTCTGCATATATATCCTACATAAAAGTCCTTTGTCAGATATATGTATTGTGAGTATCTCTTTGACTTTATGAGTTGCCTTTTTAGTCTCGTAATAGTATTTTGTGAACGCTAATAGTATTTGTGAACAGAATACTAATTATGTAATTTTAATGTAGTCTAATTTATCAATCTTTTCAGCTATATTTGGCAGTTTTTATTTAAAAATTTTTGTCTGTTGGGGTGCCTGGGTGGCTCAGTCAATTGAGTGTCTGATTTATGGTTTTGGCTCAGGTCATGGGATCAAGCCCCACTTTGGGCTCCACACTTGGTGGGGAGTCTGCTTGAGATTCTTTCTTTCCCTCTCCCCTTGACCCTCCCCTGATTCCCCTCTCTCTCTCAAATAAATAAATCTTAAAATTTTTTTTTTGGTCTCTTCTAAGGGTGCCTGTGTGGCTCAGTCAGTTAAGTGTCTGACTCTTGATTTTGGCTCAGGTCATGATCTTGGGGTCATGAGATCCAGCCACGTATAGGGCTCCACACCCCGAGCCTGGAGTCTGCTTAAAACTCTCTCTCCCTCTCCCTCTGCCCCCAACCCCTGCTTATGCTTTCTCTCTCTCTCTTTCAAAAAAAATTTTTTTGTCTAATCTGAAGTTCACAGAGATATGCTCTGTGTTTTTCTCTAAAAAGGGGAAATATGACAGAAACAGAAGAAATTTTTTAAATTATAAAAGACCTCCATGAATAACTTTATACCAAAAAATATAAATACCTTACTTTTCTCTCCCAATTCAAATGTTCATAAATTGTGATATGAAGTTATTCATGGAGGTCTCTTACAATTTAAAAAAATCTCTTTGTTCTATAGCTATTTCCCTGTTTTTGTATCTGTTTGCTGTTTATTTTGCCCCATTAGTTTTTCTTGGTTATATTTGCTAAAAATCAATATTTTTTATTATC